GCGGGGTTGTCAGAAAAAAAACAGAGGCTGAAAATATTTCATGGAAACAAGCAGAATTTTTCGATAAATATTCGTTAGGGAGAGGTGGGAAAATATCCTCAGAGAACTTGGAATACAGGGTTAAACGTCTACACTTTTTTAAAAGAGCCACATTGGCACAAAGTCTGAATCCTTTGACACTTGTATCATTTTCGTCTTTTGATTCTCAACATTTTATAAATTGTTTTCAACTCAAATAATTGATACATCAAAAAATATTTCTTGCTGTAAACAGTCACGTAATGGATGAAGAAGTTTGATCGTGCAAGGGGAAACGGAGTTCTCCCACGCGATATAAACCTAATAGAATCTGGTGTCGGGGAAGACACGAGGGCAGCTTGTACGTCGTAAAATGATGCGTCGAGGCTTTATATTTTATAGTTCGAGTGGCTTGTGTACTATACGTGGGATTGAATGGAGAAGGATTTAAAAGGGATCGTGGTTTTACGGCGGGTATTAGGAGCGGTACCTAAAACCGTGCGCGATGACTTTACTGCGCGCTGCGTACGTGCCAGCTAATTTTACACCAATTCCGTGCGACGAGTAAAACGTTTTACAACCCAGGAACTCGAGGGGAAACTAATTTCTTAATTGTTGTTTTGTAAAACATACCTTCTTCAAAATCTATTGATTCCAGGCTAAATCAGAGTGAGAAATCATAATCTTAGAAGAAATAAATTTAACTTTCATAAGTAAGTTTGCATCAATCTGAACGAACCTAGCATAAGATAAAAAAAAACAACCTCCATCACAGTCCGAAACATGATCCCTAAGTAAGAGTTAGATCTCCACGTGTTGCTCTTGGTTTACCAAAAATCTCATTCTCCCTCGATCACGCTCGACTTCACTTTTAATCCAAAACTCTGTAACGTCGCACGATTCGTTATCAGGCATCAGGCCAGCGTGAAATCACTGATTGCAGAGTGGTCCCGTCGTTATCGGCCGCAAGAGCATCCTCGTCTTCGGGGCACGCGGTCGACGTGGAACCTGGGGAATAATAACAATGGGCCGCGGGCCACGCGGAGTCAATGCGGAGCAGCTGCGATTCGCGTAATGAAAGTGTGATTGATGATCGAGCAGACGCGCGTCATTAGCTCGACACGAGGAAGCACGACGTGGAGAGGACGAAGTTGCAGAGTCCGCGTCGCCTCGAAACGTGTTCTGAATTAGCGGCCAGCGACGCTTAATATAATTCGAATTCCCTCTCTCGGTCTCTCTTTCGCGAACGTAATATTTCCGGATAAAAGAATATGAGAAATGACGCAGCTCGTGCGCGGTTAATTTGAATGCAGCCGGGGGCCCCGCGACCAGACCTCGAGCGACTCGTGATTGCTCGCTCGGGACATGGAGGAAATTGGATTTAGAGAGCTGGATTTTTGAGGATGTATTTTTCTCGGGGAAGTTTTAACGCTCGCTTAGTCGAGTAAACGTTGAACTTATGAGAGAAACGCGTTCGAGATCATAAAGACGCTGATGAGGGCATACAGAGGTAGGATTATAGAATCTTGGCTTGCGGTGTCTTTTACAATAACAAAGTGTTAATGCACTTTGTAACTTTTTGTATTTATAATAACTTTCCCGAATAATAAAGATTTATGCAATGAACGGCTCAAATACCTCTATCCTTACGATTCCATTTCTACGTCCGACTCTACTTTCTAGAAACTCCGAGACCGCAGATTACGTCGATGGTCGTCGATAACAAATCGCCCTTGGAAACGAGCACGCGTGCGTTCATTCGATAATTCCAGAAAAAGAGATCCCGAGGGAGAGAGAGTGAGAGCTAACGAACCAAAATGTCGTCGTTCGTACCGAGAGTAAAGTGGAAACCCGTGTACGTCAGATTGTCATCCTGAGTCAATCCTGATCACAGCCACCAGAGAACCTCCATCCAACCCCCTTCAGCCGTTCCAGCTTCGACCAGCCCTTCGCGCTGTTCCTCGGGCCTTCATGCCGGGCTTTGGCTCTCGATTGAAATCGATGGTGCTACGTGAGAATCTCGCGGACCTCTCGGTCAGCGGCGTTTCCGTAGCGATGGTAGGAATCGTGAAAGAAAAATTCTGCGACCGCTCACGGAGTTTCCCGAGCAGCCCTCGTTCCCAGCCATTTTTCCAATTCCTCCGAGACCGCGTCCCGTTGGCCGCCCTTCCCGCCTCCGTCGACGATCAGCAGTCCATTAAACCTTAATAGCCGAAGCATTAGGCCCCAGGGCAGATTTTGTTCCAACGGAAGCGAGATAAATGTGTCTTTCGAATGCTCACGGGTCCCCCGTGGACCACCGAAACCGATGTTATTCTCGTCTGGCCTCCCTCTCGAGGTGAGACGGTTTATTTTCAGGAAGGGATCGATCAGTCCCATGCTGCTTAGGATATTTGCAATTTTTGGAGGGCTGCTCTTTGCGTACAAGTCGTTTAATATGGTTTTGCTTGCCTAATGTGGCTGTCCATTACTGACCATTTCTACTTTCGATTGATTTGGTACTCTCGTAAGTTGTCAGGTTTGGCAAAACCGACTTGCCATTAAATATGGAATGCATCCTCATGCTAGAATGAACCAAATATGTAGAATACCATTTTTTAATATGAGCCTTCATTTCCGAGAAAAAAAATCTTGAAAGTATTTAGGGAATGCTAAACGTGTCTGTTCGTGGCTGACTGTGTCTACTTCTAGCAAATTTTGTGCACGTTAATGAGAATATTTTCTTTAAGGAAGTTTCAATGATTATTTAAGTATCTACAACACAACCATCTCACCATCGGTATTTATTATACACCAACGCAAGTAGAATAAGTGAGCAATGGTCAGACAAGTTTCACTCCAATTCATAATCGATTTTCTCGAAAACGAAGGATCTTACGAACGATCAGATTCCCTCCGGAGTGAACCATAATTTCCAGAAGCAAAAAAAGATTGATTCATCCCAACCAGAGGGCTCTTCATGGACACGTTCCCGCACGGCAACGTCAAGTGAATCGTCCCTAAAGCCCAGTTTCGTACCAAACAGCCCGTAACTCGGCGCGTATGAGGGAGGCAATCGTAAAAATACGAGTCCCGTTTAACCGGACCCACCCTACCGCGACGGGGGCTCATCCTTCCGCAGAGAACAAAGAAAGGCCGAAAAAGACACCGCTCGGGACGAGGAAAGGGATGAGGGGCATGTCGGCTGCTCGTAAAACTCGGTCTGATCACCGCTACCAATTATCCCGCCGTTATCCGAACGTTATCCGGAACGTTATCCACCTCCGCTCACCCGGAGCCTTCACGAAACAGCCCTTCCCGCCATCATCCGAATCACAAGCGAATCCTTGAACCCCAGAGAGAGCCTTGGCTACTTCCAACCCCCCCGATTCGGGATAGGTAACCGTTGTTGTCGCCTTTTACTGCAAACGAAGTGATTCCCTCCTCGTAAACGCGACGTCTTTACAGATTACACGGCCCTGGGAAACGGGGGTCGCTGTTTTTCCTCCCTTCTAGGTTAGCTTTTTTTTCAGGCGGGCTCGACGTCGTCAAAGACGGTGCCAGGCGTCGCGTTAAATTGGTCGGCTGGAGGCCCGAGTATATCGTGACACCCTCATTTTATTTGGATAAACATTTGAGGGGTGTGTCTCTCCGTGCAATGTAGGTTAAGTTTTAGAAGGTTGGCATGTTGTGGGATTACCAACCACCTAAAATTGAAGGATTTGGTCAGTGATTAGTTGTGGTGCGTAGGTGAATTTTATTGGGTGTGATGGAGCGCTTATTTCCAAGGGAGTATGTATTACACGTTTATTTACGCTTCGACTCTTTGTTTCACGATCAATTTACTTATTTGACATTTAAAAAGAAGGTACTGAAATTATTACACTGTATGCTAAATTTTATAAAATTTAATTGAACCTTCGTGCAAATTTCAATTAAACGTAGTTATACAACAGAACGAACAGAAGTAGTCTCTACTTCTTTTCTACCCCATTTTTCGCCACTCAATCGGTTCCGAAATTACAGAACACAAGAAGTCGACAACATAGCGTTAACCAGACAGAGAATTGATAAGTATGGAGTCTAAGATTGCAGCGGGCATTATAAACGAATCACGGGACAATTGGCTTCCGCCATAGGGACAAAACCAGCAACGACCTTAATAAGGTTCAGACCGTTTATTGATAAATTGATCGATACGGCACTTGGAGACACCGAGGGCTTCCGAGCAACCGTTACATAAATTGCACGGGCAACACGTCGCGGTCAATTCTTCATCGAATTATGCGAATTAACGGGCGACGTGATCGCCAGTTTCCAGGATCCGATTTCTCGAGGTACATCCACGAGAATCTAACTTACATCTAGATTGAACGTGTATACATTTCCCAATAGCTCTAATTAACGCTAACAAAACAAATTTCATCAACAATATACTCTCTACAACTATAGGATACAATCTAACTAAGCTAAACATCTAAATTAAAAAGACAAAGAAACGTAATATTCTAAAAACAAAAGATATCTATATAATAAAACAAAATTAAAGGATGAAATGAGTTAATATTCTAATAATACTCTATTTCTAAAATTCTAAAAACTATTAATAAAAAAATAAAAACAAAACATCGATATAATCATATAAAGGTTACAAAAGTTAAAGGATACAAATCATAATGAATGAAGGGTATTCCATAAAATCTATCAGAGTTTACGTTCGTTCGAACGTATACCCAAAACAAAATATTTCTAATGACAGAAACTTAGCCTAATGAGATATTAGCCAAATCGACGAGCACTTGCATATATCGGGGCCGCTAAATTCCTTCGTTTCGACGCATCGATCTACGTCAAGCGATAAGGACCGTGTGTGTAATCCTCGTGATAAGCCGGATAAACGTATCCGTGATGCATGCCCGGCACAGGTGACATGAAATTATACGCGTCTTCGGTATGGTATGTGTGTGTGTAAGGATCTGTTGACAGAATGGGGCTCGTCTTACCGGCTCGATTGCTCTGGTCGATCATTGGCTGGACGATTCTACGCCTCGCGTTGATGAACCTGAAACAGACCAAACGTTCGCGTTAGAAAAGAACACTGGCTATTAGACTATTGGCACATTTCATCGGTGAAGGTTTTCCGTTCAATTAAGGGTAGGTACTTCCACTCCTGTTATATTTTGTATTCTCTTAATCACCTTACAATTTCCTTTATTCCAAACAGCACAGTACATAGTACAGTACTCAAAAAGATAAAGGTACTCGTACCAAAAAATATGCCTCTACTTCATTATTTCTTAATTCAGCTTGCACAACCATCGCAACTCCCATTTCGAAAAGAAAAATGGCCCCAGGAAGGAGTAAATATCGCGAGACAATCTGCCACGACGATCACTCGTGATGCTCGCAGCGTTTCTACCAAGGAATCCATTCGAGTAATCAGAGATAACGATTCCCGGCCAGGTAGCCCCGACGTATTCATGACTCATTATGTAGATCACTGGATCACGGGTAGCGGGCATTAGGCGATCGCCGCGATAAGGTCGAAAGCTCGGTCAGAACGCGCGTACGTACGTCGATGTATCGTTCATCTCAATTTGGCCGACCGGGGAGGCAGCGTCGATATTTCATCGCCGTAAGGTCGGTAATTGTCGGACGTAATTTCCAGCCGAATCGTGTATGTTAATTTGACGAAGTGGCCGGGCGAAATGCACGAGCGAAAGAGGACTACAGGTGCGCGGAACTCGAATCGAACGCCGACGAATCGATCACGTCCGTGCCAAACGAATGTTCCAAGGATTATTGAATATTTCCTTAATTCGAAATGTTTTAATTGTAATCGAGGATGGAGACTCTAAGAATGCATTAAGTATACTGTACACATAGTGATAAATATCTAAGTGCATCGGAAAGTGATGATTAACAGTCCCAGGAAGTCTAGAATCGAGGTACACTTCTCTATGTTGAATAAACGCCACATGTCTGACCAATGCTAGGCTTACTCTACTGAAATATTATATTCACGTCGCTTGGAGTAACCAAGGACCACCAGACGAAGAAAAATTATTCGATTTATACCTTCTATAATCTTCCCAAAGGGAAAATGGATAACTACCCGTACCTGCCGCCTAAACCTGATCCTCCTAACATCCTAAACTCCATCTGAACATCTCCGTTCTACCGAAACACCGTGCAAATTTTTCACGAAAGGGCGCAAACTTCTCACCCTTTGTAACGGCCACGGAAACCCGAGTACGACGCGACCTATTATCTCGCTAACAACGAAGAAACGGGGAGGGTGTTGCTGTAAGAAACCCTAGAGAGAAAGAGAAAGGCAGCGAGCAAGAAACAAGGTATCCTCGATACGTCATTAGCCACGCTGAAGGAGCTTCCGTACGAGCGCTTTCCAAACAATAGATCTGCGGTCTATTTCGAGGTTGCCAGAGGTCCAAGGGAGGGCCTGCGCGTGGAGGCCATCGGGGAATGGGGATGAAGGAGAACAGAGGGCGAGCGATAGTGAGAAAGGAAGACGGGCGAAACGGTGTACGTCAGCCGACGTCAGCGTCGCGGCGCCCTAATGGGCGCAGACGCCGGAAGTGATTGGGTTTCTGCTCGACTGACTCGAGAGCACACCCCCTTCTCGTCCTGGAAAACCGTGGTTCCGTGGGACGAGGACGGAGGGGGGCGCAGTCGAGGAGGAAGCGGCAGCTGCACGGCCCCTCTTGTTTCGCGACGCATCTTTCTTGCTTAGTATCACGCCTGGCCGACTCCTCGCTCGAGTCTTATGAATAATAATTATTCCAGTCGTGGGTGGTGCTAACTGACAGTCGCTATCGACTGGACCCGCCTGGAACTCGAGGATTTCTATTTCGTGGAAGATGGAGGTCCTTCAAATGCTCAAGTACGGAGATCAAGGATGCTTGTGATTATGAAGATTATATGAATTACTTTCTGAATTGAATTTAGTTTGAGGGTATTTTCAAAATGATAGTTAATTACAGAATATGATGTCTCTTGTTTCTTTTTTCTCTGTCTTTCCTGGAATTGGAGTTCTCCAAAGACCCTTATGAATAATAATTATTAAAGTCTCGGTTCGCGCGGACTGTCACTCGCCATCTGCTGGACCAACCTAGCCGAGAGTCGAGGATCCCCGACGAGGGACTTCGCGTTCGATTAACGCTGCCCTGGATGCTTGAACGGAGTATCGATATCGATGGTAATGCGAGGATGCCTATCGGGGGGATGGGGAATGGAAGACGCCAGTTGCCAGATTGAGCAAGGATCCCGCAATTCGAGAGGATTTGTGGATGCTAACAAAGTAACTGTCTATATTGTATCAGATCATCCCATAAATCTCCGAAAATTGTGTTTATATATTACTTACATATAATATATTATGATAATATGTAATCGTTTAGGTGATATTTTTAACATCTCCAAATCCCTTTTCCACGACACCGTTCGACGAATTAACACGCGAAACCTCCTCCGCGAGTGGTCGATCGAGTCGTTTGCCAGCCGCTACCTCGACTGTAGAATTTTATCCTGTCCGTTTTCTCCGCGCTTGGCTTAAGTTTCCCGGGAGCAGGGTAGTCGAGGGTTGGGCGAAAATATTTTTGCCGATTTTCGTCCGACCACTGAGAAAAGAGAGAAAAGATTGGGCAGTTGCCACCGCTTCTGTTCCTCTTTCTCCCTCCTGTACCGCGAGCGTCCCTCTTCTCCTTTGGCCAGGGGCTGCGCGCCATTGTTCGGGCGATATTTCAGCCACGGGGGTGGTTGCCAGGAGAGAGGGCGACGGGGATGGGGGACGGTAGTCAGCTGGCTGTGACACGCTGCCTACGCCGCCAAAGGGGAACCAGAGGCGTTTAGGAGTATTTGGGGGCTGGAAAGGGGCCCTCGGTTTATACAAGCAGGGATACTCTTTCATCCAACGATAGCCGAGGCCTTGACTTTGAAGGGAGCCGGTGTTGCCGATCCTCCTGTCGTTTATGTACTCGTTGGACTCGTTCCTGGCTGGCGAAACATAGTGGCTCTGTTCTACGCGGTTGTTTGTTACGCTTGGCGTTCACGAGAGTGGCGTGAAATTCGAAATTTTTGGTATAGTGGTGTCTGTTGTATGGTATCGATAGGAACTCTCTAGATACGAGATAGGAATTTCCAAATTGAAAATTCAAATAGAATGTACCATTTTTTCTACAAGAGATTGGGGCGCATGCTATCTATGCTATCCATGGAATATAAGAAAGACGTTGAATCGATGCTGGTATTTCAAAGCAGTAGACTATATTCCCCAGGTTTCCCATTAATTAATGTTTACTCTTTCTCACGACTGCGATATATCTCAAGAAAAGAAGCCATCCTGCAGCGTGGAACGGGAAATCGATTTTACGATCGCACTAAAGGCGAAGCTACCGAACGATCCGCAATTAAACAGCCGCACTTCGCGGCTAGCTATAGTTCCTCGTGCTGTCTCCGTCTCCTGGAGATGTACGAGTGGCGTTCTATTCATAAATTTCCAACGGCGTGCGCAGTCCCAGACGCATCAACCATTTTACCGTGGTTGATCGACCGACGGGAAATTAGTTTTTACGCTGATTACTATGATTCGAAAAGGTGAGAAAATGGCGTCAGGTGAACGTCGAGCCTTGGATCCGAATTTATCTAAATCGAAAAAAGAGATGTGCTTTTTACTGCTTTATTGTCGCCACGCTATCGCAATGGCACACTAAAATGATCGGTTTACGATGCACCGCCGATTCCAAATGCAGTCCAACCTCCCTCCTGCGGAGTAAGGGAGCATATTGTTGCGCAGGAGCCGCCCCTGGGTGACAAAACACTTTTCACCGACGCCCTCGTCCCTCTTTCAGGATTTTAATGCAGTTTTGATTATGAGAGCCGAAGAGGGGGACATCATCTCGGTTTCGCGGCGTGAACTCGCCCCGTCACGCGAGGGGTTGAAAGGCTAGGCCCCCTCGTCGCCTCGTCATCGTCGCGGATCCGAATTTGAATTTTTCATAGAACTAGACATCTCCGCTGTCTCTCTCTAAACGCTCCTCGCGAAGACGATTTAACAAACGCGGTTAAGGAACCCCTCTACGCTGCAACGTGTTTGCAAGACAAATTTAATTTCTAGGGGAGAAAGTTCCAAATTAGTGGGTGCGAGTTTTCAACCTTTCGTTTATGTATAAAGGTAAGTGATTAAAATGGGTACATTTCACTCAATTAATTTTGTACATTTTAATTTATACATCTAAATAAATGAAAAAGAAATTATCTTGATCATTGCTCTTCTAATAAAACACATGTACTCTTTTCCTCCAGCCTAGATTCTGATGGAGCATAAAACAAAATTGTCGAAATTGCGGTCAGTTGTCAAAATTCCCAAACATTAGCCCATTTATTGTGTCGCTCGAGAGGCCGGGATCGGAAACGTTGAGGCTCGATTGACAAATCGCTGATACCGGTTGGGTTTCGTGGCTCGTCGTTACTTTTTATGGGGGCGAGGGGGAGGCAAGAACATATGACACGCTTCTGTCGCGAAAAAAAAGGCATAAAAGCTGGAGTTACGAGAGGGTGTCTCCCGCATGACCTTCCGGGGCGCCGTGACGAAATTTAGTGCGCTCCCGAACGCATACATGAATAATGCCAGAATTTGCTTATACACACGCCAACGCGTGGATTCGATTTATACGGTTTCGGAAACACCTCGAGTCGAGTGGATATTGAGGAACTTAGCGGAAGGAATCGCAGAATCGGTTGGAACTTACCGCTCGAATGGTTCTGTCAGCTTGAGGTGGCGTCAACCTGTTTGCTATGGACACTTCGAGATAAAGTGGATGGTTCCAGATAAGTATGAAGAGGCATAAAGAGGTATGTGGAGGTATAAAAAGGTTGGGTGATATAGGGAGGTGTTGATAGATGTAGATTGATGTTATTCTGAAATAAGAATTTTTCAGAAAACGGTTGAAAACTAATACTTTGAAGATTTCTACTTGTTACAGCATGAAACTAATGACATAAATTTTCAGCGGTGAAAGATTCAACGTTCAAAAAGAAATTCAA